ACTACACTACACTACACTACACTACACTACACTACACTACACTACACTACACTACACTACACTACACTACACTACACTACACTACACTACACTACACTGCAGTGCACTGCACTGCACAGCACTGCACTGCACTGCACTGCACTGCACTACACTATCAAAAGAAAAACAATAATCCAATTTTAATTTATTTCTGAATTAGTTCCACCCGTGTGTGAGAAGATACATCACTCTCTTGTCGCCAGAAAGGGAGAAAGACGACTTTATGAGTGTCCGGTAACTTCTAATCCAAAACCTTTCAAATATAGGTATGTAGTTTAACTAAATATATTTGTAGAAAAGTAATTTAAATATCTTAAGATATCTCTGGTTAATTAATATTCTTACTTAAATATTGAATTCTTCCATGTTTGGCAGTAGGTCTAGCTGGGCCTTTTACTATTACATTTTTCACATTTAAAATGTTCTTGCTGCGGTCCTCGGCCCCAAGCAAAACTTGACCGCCTCTGTGAGAAACCATTTTGATGCAAAACTGCACCTAACCTTATATCTAGATGGAGCCTGCAAGCTGGAGGTGTAGTCCGGATACTAGAACATGAATCTAGAACTCCAGATATATGGTTTAGTCCAAATACAGACTCTGATTATGGAGCTTTAGTCTGCTGGGGGGAGAATACTCTTGGAGTACAACAATCACCCTGTATCATAAACCTTATTCAAACAGGTATCACCCTGTATACATAAAAGACTTTATTCATACAGGTTTCACCCTGTATAATTGACCTTATTACTACATGTATCACACTGTATAATAGACCTTATTACTACAGGTATCACACTGTATACTAATCCTTATTCCTACAGGTATCACCCTGTATAATAATCCTTATTCCTACAGATATCACACTGTATAATAGACCTTATTACTACAGGTATCACACTGTATAATAGACCTTATTACTACAGGTATGACACTGTATAATAGACCTTATTACTACAGGTATCACCCTGCATAATTGACCTTATTACTACAGGTATCACACTGTATAATAGACCTTATTACTACAGGTATCGCCCTGTATCATAAACCTTATTCCTGCAGGTGTAATAAACTTTTTTCCTACAGTTATCACCCTGTTAATAAACCTTATTTCTACAGGTATACCCTGTATAATAAACTTTATTTCTACAGGTATACCCTTCCACGTTAAATATAAGTCTTAAATTTGTTTATACAATAATTTTTCCAAAATTGAATATTTTTAAAACAAGTTAGCAAAGTCCCCCTTTCCATTTATCTCCCACTTCCTATTTTCCATGTTCCTGTTTTTCTAACCTTTCCCTTAATTTCACTTTCCCCTATCTCCACCACCACTTTCCCAAATACCTTTCCTTTTCCCTTTATCTACCCTCCCAACGTCCCCTTCCCCTTTCTGCACTGCATTTGCACACTCTTTCCCTCTTTTCCTACCCATCTCTTTAAAATTTCCCTCTTAACCTTACCATCTCTTTAAAATTTCCCTCTTAACCTTACCATCTCTTTAAAATGTTCCTCTTTTCCTAACCATCTCTTTCAAATTCTCCTCTTTTCCTACCCATCTCTATAAAATTTCCCTCTATTTAGTTTCTATTCAATCCCTCTGACCTTAATTTTTCCCCTTCCATACCCCCTTTTTCAATACTACCCCGGACCCCCCTTTTTCCTTACACCCTGCCGGACCCCCTTGTTTCCTTATACCCTACCGGACCCCCTTTTTTCCATACACCCTACCGGACCCCCCTTTTTCCTTACACCCTACCGGACCCCCGTTTTCCTTTTCTCCTTTCCCTATCCCCAACTTCTGTCCCCAGTTAAATCTTTGTCCTGCAATTTATCTCATTATGCTTCTATTTACCAAGAAATGAGGCCCCGGGCTCTGATTGTAGCAAAATAAAGTTTGCTCTGTAATTTTACTTTTATAGTTATTATATACTTTAAAGTGTACAGCTCAGGACAGTTAACTTTACCAAAAGTTTCAAAACTGATTTAGCAGACAAAAACTCGAACTCCTTGGAACCTGAATGAAATCATAGTTTTGGTTTTATTTTCTAACATCTTGATTCATGAGCGGTGCGTGTCATGGCCTGGAGTGATTTACATTGCAGGCCATGAAGGTGCAAACTTTTAGAGCAGGATGTTATTTTAGTTTATTACCCCAAGGGATAGTATAAACATTATATCCCGTCAAGGGTTTTTTAGAAGTCATTGTTTGTTATTGTTTGACTGAAGGTCGTGAAAGTAAATATATTGAGAACCTAAATAGTAATATTATTCTACTTGAAGGAGTACCCGAGCCTGTGAAAGACTGCAGATCAAATATATCCTCCTTAAATGTGATATTCTCGTGTATCCCTGGGTATAGTGGCGGGGAGCAGCAGCATTTCCTCTTGAAACTCAATCTAAGCCGAGGGCAAGATTCAAATAGGAAATCCTTCAAAGTACATTATACACACATCATCTATATTTATGGGAATTGGCTAAAGAATCGCATAGATTCTCTGTGCAAATAAATCAACAAATTTTTAAGGAAAAAACTTCTATTTTATTCCAAATATGAAAGTGGGTTAGAACTAAGATTAGATTAGAATTTTGGTATGATATAATGCTAAAATGTGAAAAAGGGAGTGTTCGCGAAAAATTAAATGGGGTATAGGCTTACGGCGTTTAATAATCGCTTTTGATCGCTACTAATCTTTCTTCTATCTGTTGCGTCAAAAATGAGAAAATTGTTAAAAACGTCTCATACCGAAGAACGTAGATTCCTTACAAATTCAGAAAGTTGCAACAAACGACTCAGATCGTAACAAAATCAATTTAATTCCAAACAAAGCATTCAGATATTACAACTTATAGTCATTGATTATTTTTTGACGCATTCGTATATAGTTAATATTTCATAATATGTTTTACTTTGTATGATCTGAGAGTGACTTTTGAAAACATTCATTCCTGTTTTGAGGATTTTGATAATGAAGACGACATTTTCCATATTTTCCGGGAATGCGCCAGTCGTAAAAATAAGTTGTAAGCTAATTATTGATTTTAAAAAACACAAAATAAAAAATATTATGAAATATCAACTATATGCAAATGCGTCGAAAAATAATCGATGATTATAGGATTTAAGATCTAAATTATTTGTTCGATATTAATTTGATTTTGCGATTTTTGCGATCCAAGTCGTATGTTCCAACTTCCTCAATTTATATGAACGCTACGTTCTTCGGTATGAGACGTTTTTAACAATTTTCTCCAAATAGCCGCAACAGATAGAAGTAAGATTAGTAGCGATCAGAAGCGATTATTTATCGCCGTAAGCCTATACCCCCTTTCATTTTTCGCGAATACTCCCTTTAAAACGATTTAATTCGTAAATTTTGGAAAACTCAATATCACTATCTCTATTTTGAATGGCTTCTATGCTTGACCTGTAAATATATCCAAAATTATATAGTTTATTCTGTCAAACTGGAAAAATTTACTGTTTTCTGAGTGATTTTAATTCAAAAGTTTAAAATAAAAAAAAACATAGTTTCTTATTGTTAACAAGTTCGGAATTTGAGTTGTGTTGTAAGATTTATCTGGTTACATGTTAAAGATTTATAGATTTTCTATACTTGAAGGAACAACTATACTCAGGATAGAGCTAGTCAGCTCACAGTCACCATTCTTTATCGTCAAGGACTTGCCGCCTGGTGCTAGGAAAGAAACTTATCTATTAAATGAATTTGGTGGAAAAAATGAATAAAAAATAACTGAATCGTTTAATCAATTCCTTTGAATAAGATTTAGCATGGCCTGTTATTCATCATTCATCCAACCAACCTAAAGGAATTGAGTATTTGCCACAAACTCAAATTTTCTAATCCTTAAATCTTTACAACCTGGTGGTGTTAACCTCTGATATCTTAAACGTAGATTATTTTATATAACAGAGTTCGTTGTTTGAAATATCTAAGGTCTTTGGTTTTAAATGTAAAGGGATTAGAAAATTAGAGTTTGTGGCAAAAACGTAATCCCTTTTTTGCAAAAAAATGGGTCTACTTTATTTTATTCAAGGAATTAAATTGTTCATGATTGGCCAATTATTGGTGATGCATACTTATTAATTAGAAAAGTCGCTATATTTGTAGCAATTTATGGTTGCTATGTAATTTTTATAAATCAAGTGTAAATTCTGTTCGTCTTCTTTGTTTTTATGTCAGATCGTGCAGAAACCCTTGACTGATTTGCATCAACAGTTGATTGGGGGACTCGGTAGAACCGCGGGAATTTACTTAATGTTATTAGTGTAAGAATATAAAGTTGTTTATAGATCAATTTTATAGAGAAAGAATATATTCCAGGAAAAACTGGGTTGCATCACTTCACTTTTTTGGTTACTTTGTAATTGCAAGTAGTTACTGAAAATAACAACAAACTGTAGAATTTGTTATCCACAAATTGTTAAAAAAATGTTGTTTCTTGTTGTCTAGTATGGTTGTATCTATAGTAGCTGTAAACCTGAATGGAGAGAGTACACCAGTAAACCTTGTGATGAACGTACCTGAATCTAACCACCTGGAGAGACACGTTAGAGAGAAATCCAAACCTAGTTCCCTTCTCTGGGTTCTCCTCACCATAGCATCAACTCTAGGTCTGGTTACAGTGCTGATCAGTGTTCTCATAAGGGTAGTGGTGCTGTATATCAGGAGAAGGAGGTTGGCCTCGGCCAGGGTGGAGGCTGATCATCAGATGAGCGAGATGAACTTTACCCCGGTGGACGAGGCTGTTAAGCATCCTCAGCTCTGGAGATATTCTCAAGGGTTGTCTCAAGAAGATCTTATTCTTAATTTACATCCAGGTAGCACTCTAACAAGTTTTTCATCAGCCATTTCTTTTTGAGCTTTACGATGAAGAAATATGATTCAGAGATTTGAACTTTGTAATAGACTGAATTAGTGTAAAAAAAGAAGAAAATGCTTTAAGACATTAGTAAATTCCGTTCATTTGAAAGCTTACAGCTTTTGTAAATTATTGTATCTAATAGATATAGTTCAACCCCTAAATGTTTTAATTATATTTCACTTAATATTTATGAATGGTAGAGTTTTGAATAGATGGTTGAAACCAATCCTTTATTAAAAGATTTAATTTGAATTTGTTAACTCCTTGTTCCAGTAAGAGATGACCATGTCATAGATGTTTCTCTTTCAAAATTGTAAGTTCAATGATTTTGCTTTCATTACATAGAGAATACAATTTACATGATAAACATATCAGGATCTTTTGGATCCTTTAAAAGCACAATGGATATCTTTAATTAAACTGAGATCTATATTGTAGGAGTAACCTACGTATCTCCGTTCTACACCCTGCCCAGACATCAACCCGGGCATCCTTGTTCTTCTAGAGGTTGTACTAGATGCACTAGATATACTAGACCATCATCCTTCCATTCTCCTTTCCATAATAATATGGTGAGTTCCGCCTTTTCTAATCTCTTTAAAGATAATATATAAGACGTTTTTTAGTGACTTGTTTATGGAAATTTTAGTTGTGAATTAAACATATGACTGTACCACTCTACATTGTCAGAAACGTCATTGAAAAATAGATATACATACAGTCCCTTAAATAGATATACAGTCCCTTAAATAGATATATCAGTAAACCCACGCCCAGCAATGTATTTTGTAGTCTCAGCATATCCCATGAAAAGATGAAGGAGAAATTAGATAATACTTAAGGCTGGGGTAGTTTGTGTCCCCTTAGGTTTTTGCCCCAGCACTCTCATTTTTAACACTATCAGTTATCACTTTGAAATTTCTTGACTTAGTTTTAAGAAAAAGTAATTTAAAGGATGTTTTGCAAGTTTTCATGCATAGGGTAGAGTTGAAAGTTGTCAATGTATATACATGTTAATTTTTTTTTCTTTTCAATATCCCATTACTTTTTTGTTATAGACTGTCAATACAAATTTCCCGGGGTGATGTGATTTCCTTCAAGAAACTATCGGTTTAACCCTATTCCTGCTGGGGGGGGGTCCCCCCCCCCCAGCATATCCTGGTTTTTAAGTACCCCAGCAGAGAAAGGGTTAACTGTTTTAGCGTTTATTAATACAAACACCACTGAAGATAGATGCAGAGTTGACTAAAGCCACTTGATCAAATATTTCTCTGAAAAGAAAGCGTTAATTGTTTTATAAATCAATAAGACAAGCCCATCTCTATACATTAAAGATTAATAGTGTAACTAGTTTGTTAAGTTAAGTACAGTTTGCAGTTGCTGACATCACTATATACCAAGAATACACCAGTAAGAGGAAACTACCAATTCCAAATATTGCTTTACGTTAAAATGACCGGAAACAGAAAATAAAATGGAAATTGAAAATTCTATTTCAAGTTGTAACAATTTGCCGGAATTGTCTTCTTTAAAGATATAAGATACACCTGTAGTTAACTTGAAGTTTTGTCATTGAAAAACTTGCGACTGTTAAACCTTAAGCTAGTGATATTGACATATTAATTTATTGAAATGAACAGATTATTGGCCACAAACTCTAATTCTTTAATACATATATTTTGGCAATCGTGTGCTATTTGATCAACCAGAAATCATAGCTCTGCGACATTCGAGGTTATAACGATATAATGATTTGAAAATTAGAGTTTGAGGTGAGTAATCAATTGCTTTCTCTTATAATCATTAGATGGAAATCTATATATAAATTTAGCGTGTCTGATTGGGTGTTTGTTTGTTTGTTTGTATACAAACGTTAAAACGACTGAACCGATCGGGCCCAAATTTTGTGTGGAACCTCACAATGAATGATCAAAATTTTAAGAATTTGTGTTTAAAGGTTTTTTATTTTTGTGAAATTTTGAAAATGCGCGAAAAAATATTATGAAATCCGCAAACTTTTTTGTTTTATACTGTACAAAGAGAAAATGCTCACAGATAAAGCCACAATTAAAAGTTGAAATAGAAGATGGGCTCGAAGCGCCCTACAAGCCGAGTTTCTTTTTATAGCAGCAATTTCTTTCTCTTTCTCTTTATATCATTAAATAGAAATTTTTTATAAATCAGCTATTTATTTCTCATTCTCTTAATTTAATTAGAAGGAAATACCTTTAAAAATCAGCAACTAATTTCTTTGCTTTTTAGCTCATTAGATGGCAATTCCTTTATAAATTTAGCGGTTTTTTTCCTTTCTCTTTTGATCATTAGATGAAAATTCCTGTGAAAATCTGCAACTTTCAGCGATTTATTTCTCTTTTTCTTTAGATCGTTAGAAGGAAATTCCATTGTAAATCAGCAATTTTTTTCTTATTCTCTCCAAATAGTTAGACGGAAATTACTTTAAAAATCAGCAACTTCTTTCTCTTGCTCCTTAGCTCATTAGGTGGTGGCGATTCCTTTATAAATTAGCGTAATTAAATTAAACGGAAATGGGTTTAAATTGCAGCAAAGAAGTTTTAGTGGATTTTATCAATTATTCCATTTTCGTTTGGTTAATGAATCTTATTTTCAGGACTCATTGTTTCTATTGGAAGAATGTGGACATAGCAACCCTGATAGATGTTCAGTTAGAAGCTTAGATGTTGCTCTATAATAATTTACAATATTTTATTATCATTTTAAAGATGTCAAATTTATTATAATCAAATGTTTATATTTAAAATAAGATTATATCATTAAACAATTTTATCAAAGTGAATTTGTTGGCATGTAAGTAAAATATTTTTTTTTGAAATTCCACTTTTTGAAATTAGTTAACAAATGAATAGCAAAGCAAAATGACAATTTCATTTACTATTGACCATCAGTATCTATACACAAATACACTGATTAAGGTGTCTCAATTTAAAGAGTTGTTTTTACTGTTCTGAAATATACTGAATGTTTCATAAAAATATGCTGGTCTATTTATTTACTCGAATGTGACAAAACTGTCATGAATTTTTATATATATTGTTTTTTGTAGAAATATTGATTTTTTAGTTTCTATTAGTGCAGCGTGCCAAAAGAGAATTTCAAAAAATGTATTCTCATAATTAGGTTTGGTAAATTATTTAGAGGGACTGTAAGCGTAATATCAAGAGGTGCCTAATCTACAACCTTACCCGCTGAACCTTATTCTGATAGAATACTGTGTGTTTATCTCTAAACTGATGACGTAACATATATTTCTCCAATTTCCCGGTCCCGACTATTCTTTTACCCAAACGCAGTATCCAAAAAGTCAAATGAAAATATTAATTTTTTTCTGGAAAGTGAAAATTACTTTATTTCTTGAATATAATAGAGCTTTCAAACAAAGTTATTAACAATTACAACTGTTTCTGTAGAGAATTAAGGATCGTTCTTGATTATGAAAAGCTTAAAGGAACTGTTGTGAATCAGACACGACACTTGAAGAAAACCTTTACAGTCTCTTGTTATCTGTTTTGGCTTTCAGTTTTAAGTATTAAAAAATATGAACGTCAAATATTTCAAATGTTCTGCTCTTCTTGAAGTTTACTTTTATTACACTTTTCAAAGTTTATAGAGGTTTAATAAATCATGAGTGAATTAGTTTTAAACTAAAATTTTTTCGTTGCTTGGTTCACTCATCTTCTGTCAGTCAATTTTTAGCAATTTTACTGAAAATAAATAAATTATCCGTTAGAAAATCATCTATTCAGTACAAATCTAATCCCTAAAATGTTGTAGACATTAAAAAATGAAGTTCCTTAGATCAACTTGTCTAATTTTTTAAATTATTTAAAGTTTCCACCTTCAGGTTGCAAAGTAGAGGGATTAGAAAATTTGAAATAATTAAAGTTTCCACCTTCAGGTTGCAAAGTAGAGGGATTAGAAAATTTGAAATAATTAAAGTTTCCACCTTCAGGTTGCAAAGTAGAGGGATTAGAAAATTTGAAATAATTAAAGTTTCCACCTTCAGGTTGCAAAGTAAGTAGAGGGATTAGAAAATTTGAGTGTGTGGCAAGAATTCAGTTCCTTTGTAATTATTTCAAACTAAATTAAAATTTTTTAAAGTCAAAAAATGATTTTTTGAGATTGTCAGAGAGAGACAGCAGGGTAACTATATTTTTTGGTTTCTGACAAAATTTTCTTTTCAAAGGTTTGATTTTATATTTAGACTTATTTCGTTTGAAAATATATTCTTTTATCGTCTTGATTTCTTTTGATACCTATATCTAGATGTGTGTGTAGGCTGGTTTACAATATTTTCCTTTTTTCGTCCAGTTAATATAATTTTTATTTTCATTATTTCATATTAAACTGTAAAACTTTGAAACACTCTATATTTTTTTATCTTTAATTAAAACTCATGAAAGAAAATCAAAGTTTATTTTGACCTGATTTATATTTTAACTTTGTTATTTCTTCATTCATTAAGTATCTTCTTCTCGTCTATTATTTGTGATGAAACCTTGCTGGTTCCATCTGCCCTGTCAGTAATCCATCTCAAGGGTAAACCATGGTTCTTCTACTCACCATATCTTGCTGAACAAACCACTGAAAACTCATGTTTATTTGAAGTATCAGTTAAACCTAATGGTTATCAACTATTGTACCGTTGAAAATTTTAAATGAAAATGTCGGCGTAATTATTTCAAGCTTTAATTACGCTTAAAGTTGCAGTTTAAGTGTTTGTCTTTTGTTGGAATAAACCAAGCTTTATTTTTGAGGAATATTTTATATTTTCTGCTCAATTTTTTTTGCAGATTTTTGCATAAAATTATTGGCTGACATTTGTTTTGAATATTCACGAGATACAATATGCTAATTCAACACTAACATTTATCATTTATAGCGTTAAGGAGGTGTCAACCAGCAAATAATCTGTGATATGTGAGAGCAGAGGCGTAATTAATTGGAGGGGGGAGGGTGGCATCTGGCTCACCCCCCCCCCCCCGGCCCTGGATTGATGAAATCTATGGTTTCCAGTTTTTTTTAAAGAATCCCCATGGACTACGCCACTCGCTGAAAAAGCATTTAATTATACATATTAGCATGTATATGTATATATTTAAATTTCATTTTTGGCAATTAATATTCGTATGATTTAGGTACAAATTATTGCTTTCAAATGAATCCTTATTTCATATTCTACAATACTACCTTTTCTCCTCTTAACAATATATCCCTTTTCCGGTCACTCCTTTAAATACAACCTGAATTCACAGTCAACTTATATTTAGTACAGCTTGAAAACTTTGAAATAGAATATTAGTCGATATTATTGTAATGATTATGTGGATTTAAAGTTACAAGGCGTAACTAATTAAATCACTTATTAAAGGGACAGTAAAGGAAAAATGAAAGGGGGTATAGGCTGAAAGCTAATCACTTTAGCTCTTGATCGCGACCCATGAAAGTTTTATCTGATGTTCCTGTCTCGAGAAACTGATATAAAACTGTGTTAAAATTATACGAAAATTCATATATGTAAAATTTTGAAAATCTGAAACTTAAATCACGTGACCAGAACAATCACCAATGGCAGAGCAGTATACTGGTCACGTGTCTCCGCCTGTATCACGTGACCACTTTACTGCACTGCCATTGGTGGAATTTCTGGTCAAGTAATACGGACGTAAAAATAATATTATGAATGAAATCTATTGAAAATAGAAACAACAAATATAAAAGTAAACCTAAATTACAATAAGCTTTCTCTGGGATATCATCGTTTTCAGATTGGTTGCTTATTTGCTGAATATGATCTGTTTAAACCTACTACTTTTATACAAAATTGTATATAATTTTCGTATAGATTTGACACAGTTTTATATCCGTTTCTCGAGACAGGAACATCAGATATGACTTTCATGGGTCGAGATCAAGATCTAAAGTGATTAGCTTTCAGCCTATTCCCCCTTTCATTTTTCCTTTACAGTCCCTTTAAGTAAAATAGCTTTCCAAACTTTCTCTGTAAAAATCAAGCTGCTCAATTAAAATTCTTAAATCAAGTTTAGATCATTCCCATGGCTCCACTCAGTTCCTTCATCAAAATTTGAGGCAAATCGGTTCTGGGCTATGTTCGGAAATACTTTTAAAGAAACAACCAACCAATCAACCAACACCCACCCAACCACCAAAAACCTTCTAATGGGATATCCTTTAGATCCCAATTCTGTTGATTAATCTGAGGCCAAAGTAATTTAGTTTTAGCCACAAACTCTGAGTTTCTAATTTCAATATCGCTGCATTTGCAATCTAATGTCGTAGACCTTTAATATTTCAAAATATGAATGTCATTAGATCAAATAATGTAAGTTTGAAATATCAAAGGTTTACATCATAAAGTTGCAAAGATATAGAACTTACAAAAACTGAATCAAAGACTCAATTCCTTTAAAGAATTTGACAAGCGGGTTAAACTCATTAAATTTGGACACTGGAGATTGATATCAAGAGAAGATCAAGCAATATTTAATCTGGAGATTAAAAAAAAGATTAGATCAAACTTTAGTTTGATATCCACCATTCTAAAGTTTTCAGCTCTGGTTTTGGATGTCTGATCATAACTCATAAACCACTGGACCGATTTGCTTCAACTTTTGATTAGGAAACGTTCCTAATAGAACCAAGTGGGTTGACTTGTATAGGCAATGATCGTGGCAAAGCTGGGTTCCCAAGCTACTTGTATCAATATTTTTTCAATTAAGGGGTTTTTAAGGGGAGGGGGCACAATGTTGCCAAGGGGGGGCACCCCCTATCCAAATGCTGTCGTACACCCCTGCAGCTAATTTTCTTTTAAAATGTATGATTGAAGTGGGAAAACGCAAAATTTGTCATTCCCTCTCAAATGTCGTCTTTCTTTCAATTTATAAAACAATCATAATTATTCGAAACATAAGGATTTTTAATGTGTTTTTCCAATCAAATGCATTAATTAAACTCGTCAAAACATTTAATGTCTAAAATTGTGTTAAAACGGTGTAAAATCTAGAGGGTGGTAAACTGTCCCAAAGAGGTGTAAGACACCGGGAAGGTTTATTTCAAAATTGCAAAACATTGCCTGGAGAAAAATGTCGACATTTATGATTTTTGAAAATCCACCAATATGTTGTTTAATGGAGTCTAATGAAACATCCACATTAAAAATATAAAATTACTTCAAGGATAATGAAATAGGAATATGCAAAAAGCGTTGTTGATATATTTTAGAATATAAAAGTAATCCCCAAGAGCATCTTTAAATTTATATATATACATTAGGCACTCTTAATCCTATTTTTAGAACACTTAAAACTGATTATAAAAACTGGTAAAATAGTTATATTCTCAAAAAAAAGTGTGAGCTAAAATATACAGCATATATATTATAAAGCCATGATTTAAAAAAATGAGTTTGAGCCCGGCTGCAAAGTTCTTTTTTAAACACTCTGTAAATATACCTATATTATATACAGCTATATACAGCTATACATACAGCTATTTTATAAAGCCTTGATTTAAAAAAAGTTCTTTTTTATACACCCTGTAAATATACCTACATAATATAACAAACTAAACCCTTTAGATTTATCTAGACTGGTTTAACTACAATGATTCTATTATATTATACTTTAGTCTAGATTTAATCATGTTTTATTTCTCAGTGAATTGAAATAAAGCAAACTACAATGGGATCCATAAAACAACGAGTTATGAAGACGACTGCTAGACTCAATTTATGAATTTAAAAAGTCCTATTCGAGCATCCAAACACCGCAATTGTGCTACTGTTAAAAATGGTTACAAAACTTTACTGAAACTTTTCCACAGGTTTTATAGTCAATACCGTACTCTTAAAACTTTGTCCAGAACTGTTTCAATCCAGGTACAGGTGGTCAGCTATATATGTCAACCAGGACACAAACTCTATAGCAATCAATGCAAAACCAATGGACACAATCATATCAATAGAAGCACAGTAATATTGTTCTTAGTCTGGTTTAAAATTAAAGTCAAGGAAAAAGTTTAGTTTCCAGTTTCAAGTTAATTCTTTTTTTTAATAAAATAGTTCTATTATGAAATCGTTCGCGACATTTCATATTCAAAAGAAGGCAACGAAAATAAATTTTTCTGGTTTTTACCATAGCAAGTGGGTTCAAGATTTTACTACTTTAATATTCAGAAAAAAAAATGTTTAAGTTCTGATAAGTATGTTCAATTCCATTTCAACTAGAAGATTGAATGCAAATTTGTCGGCTGGTTTAACTTAAAATATTCATATTTTGAAAAGAAAAATATAAAATATCGAAACTGAACTTTTTTATTATTATTTTATTCAGAAGAGGGGTATATATCTAGAAAGGAAGGAGAGATAAAAGTAAAACTTCTACTGGGAAATGAGTCTGAGTTTTCACCCCGATAAATATCTACAGGAATAAAACTTTGATGCAAAGCAGTTCCAACATCATCACTAAGAAATTAAAGAAAATTTTCAAATCAAATTAAATCAAATGTATTTTTATAAAAAGGAGAGATGATTTCATTTTTTTCTAAAAAAAGAGTATTTTTTTCTATTTTATAAAATTGTCCTTTACTATTTTGTTAAAGA